GGCTGGTCTTCTGTATCAGTATCTTCCTCTTGACCCTAGAAGGTCCTGTTAAGTGTACAGACTTCAACAGATCTGGGGATCCTGAGCAGAGTTACCAATAAGAGACCCCAGGGATAGCATTAACATGGTGATCACCCAAGATCCTCCTCAGCCAGGGAGACATTCCAAGGCCTATGAAATGAGGGGAAAAGAAGAGACACCTAGGGGGTAGGATTTTTTTTATTCTGAACTTGTGAGCCTTAATGAAAAACATATTTTGTATGCATGTCCCCCCAGCCCTGATACAATTTTCACAACTATTTGAAGCTACATTCTAGTAGGGTCCTCATGAAGCTATATCCAAACCTTTTTAAAGAACACTTTATTATTTTAAGTGCATGGGTGTTTGGCCTGCATGTATGTTTCTGCCCATAAAGACCAGAAAAGGGCGTCAGATTTCCTGGGACTGGAATTACTTCTTCTTAGCTGACATATGAATGCTGAAAATCAAATCCAGGTCCTTTGGAAAGCAGCTAGATTCTCTTAAGCAGGGAGGCATCTCTTCAGTCCCCACCACAACTTTTTAATTTTTAAAATTTGAAATAGGGTTTTGCTAAGATACCTGGACTGGCCTTGGGCTTGTAACCCTTCTGCTTTTAGCCTTCTGAGACTATAGATATGTGCCACCATGTCTGACACCACTATCTCTTATTTTCCTTCAAATTGGTTAAAAACAATTTATCTCCTAAATCTTCTATTGTACATCCTTAATAGTATTATAACTTTTATTTAAATACCTTAAAAGTTTTAGAACATTCCCATAAATACCCTATTATTGTTATTTTATACTTGCAGTGACCATTTAATTTTTTTAGGAAGGGTCTTACCGTGCAGCCTTTGCTGCTCTGAAACTTACTGTATAGGTCAGACTGGCATATAACACACAGAAATCCACCTGCCTTTGAGTGCTGAGATTAATGTATGCTACCATGCCTGGATAATTGTTTAATTTTAAATTTAATGTTTTAGTAGTATATACAAAAAAGTGAAAAGTACAAATCTATATAGTCAAAATTGTCTTATCCATCTTTCTCCTATATCCTCAGCTTTCTCTAACACATAAAATTGCTTTACTTTCTTTGGGTTGCATTTATTTATTTGTTTGTTTAACTATATCAATCTATCAATCATCTATCCTATCCTATTCTAATTTTTCATAACCCAACCACTGTTTCCCTCCTCCTTGACATTCCCCCACCTATCCTCTTGCCTCTTCCTCCCCATCCACTCCTCTGTTTCTATCAGAGGACAGACCTCCCATGGATTTCAACAAAACAGCATATCAAGTTGAAGGTTGCACAAGATACCCTAGAATGATGATAAAGGTCCTAAAAGCCAGCAAAAGAGTCAGAGACAACCGCTGCTCCCACTGTTAGGAGTCCCACAAGAAGACCAAGCTACACAACTTTAACATATATGCAGAGGGCCTAGGTCAGTTCCCTGCAGGCTCCTTAGTTGCTGGTTCAGTCTCTGTGAGGCACTATGAGCCCAGTAAATTGATTCTGTGGGTTTTCCTTTGATGACCTAGATCCCTCTGGCTCCTACAATATTTTTTCCTCCTCTTCTGCAGGATTCCCAAACTCCTCCTAATATTTGGCTGTGGGTCTCTGCATCTGTTTCCATCAGTTGCTGGATGAAGCCTCTCCGATGACAATTGGGCTAGACAACAATCTATGAGTATAGCAGAATATCATTAGGAATCATTTCATTGACTTTTTTTTTGCCAGTTGTGTTTGGTTCTATCATAGGTCTCTGGGCTATCCCACCTCTGGGACCTGGCCCTCCAGGTAGTGTCAGGCAGGAGTGGGCTCCCACTCATGGCATGGGTCTCAAGCTGAACCACTTATTTGTTGGCCATGTCCACAATTTCTGTGCCACTTATACCCCAGTACATCTTGTAGGTGGGACAAATTGCAGGTTGAAATTTATGTGGCTCGTTTAGTATCCCAATCCCTCCACTATAAATCTTGCCTGGTTACAGGAGATGGCCAGTTCAGGCTCCATATCCCCCATTGCTAGCCATATCCCTATTGCTAGGAGTCTTAGCAAGGGGTCACTTTCATAGATTACTGGGAATTTCCATTGAAATAGGTTTCTATCTTGTCCCTGAGATTCCCCATATTCCAGTTGTCTTTCCCAGTACTTTCTCCCTCCATCCTCCCACCTCATCTCTCCTGTTTCTGCTCTATCTCACCTCCTCCTCTACTTGCAATGTCTACTCTATTTCCCCTTCCCAGGAAGATTCATTCATTCCCCCTTGAGCCCTCCTTGTTACTTAGCCTCTCTGGGTCTGTGGATTGTAGCATGGTTGTCAGGGACCTCCAGCCATCAGTCAGCTAGGCTGTATCATGTACTCATAGAGAAGACGTGACACTAAGACCACCCTGCCACCCCTTCTGACATAAAGCAAATTCCAAGAAACAAGCCTGCGGTTTACCTGTCAATTAAAGATTAGCTTAATTGGAAAAACTACAAGGTCTTCAGGAAACAGGCCTGAGCAGTAGTAAATTGTAATAGATAGGATTGGACCCTGCTGTGAGGTTACCAAGCGACATAGGAATTCCTACCCCTGATCTCTTGCCCTGTAGATTAGGTAGCCAGGCAACACAGCAGACCACCTCTCCCACTGACCTCTTGCCCCTGCAGCAGCACGCACACCTTCCCCCCTTCCCCTCCTCACTTCTCCTATATAAATCCCTTTGGGATGAAATAAAATTGTCGCCTTGATCAGAATCCTGTCTTGGCGTCCATTCCTGTATCCCCTGTCCTCCATCTTTCTCCTAGGTGTCTACCAGACCCACATTGAATGTCCTGTGGGTCGGGACACATGGTTATCCTTTACTTCATAGCTAATATCACTTATGTTTAAATGTACCACATTTCTTTATCCATTCTTTGGTTGAGGGATAGCTAGATCGTTTCCAGTTTCTGGCTATTAGTTGAACAGATGTCCTTGTGGTATGAATGCGCATCCCTTGGGAATATGCCCAATAGTGGTATTGTTGGGTCTGGAGGTAAACTGATTCCTCAGTGATGACATGAGGCCAGGGAGTGGCCATGAGTGATGACATCGAAGGTGAGGTCAATGATGCAAATATGAGGCCATGAATAATGACATGAGGATGGGTGTTACAGATGGTTCTCCCCACCAGCCTGGTCCCACAGCCATGTCAGCCCCAAATAAACACACTGAGATGCTATATTAATTATGAAACTGTTGGCTAGCTCTGTCTTAATTATTAACCCATTTCTATCAATCTATGTACTTTCACGAGGCTATGGATTACCCGGTAATGCCCGGCATGGTGTTACTCCTCTGGCAGCAATTGTGATGGATTCACTCTGCCTACCTTTCCCAGAATCCTCCTCCTTTTCTAGCCCCACCTATTTTCCTGCCTGGCAAGTCAGTGTTTTATTCATCAACCAATAAGGGAAACTATACAGAAGAACATCTCCCATCAGATGGGAAGTGGCCTTGAGTGATGATGTGAGGCCAGGAGTACCTGGTACTGAGCACCTGAGACCAGGGAGTAAACTTAGTGAGCAACCAAGGCCAGGGAGTACTCATCACTGAGCTCCCAAGGTCAGGAAGCACCCTCAGTGAGCAAGCGAGGCTGGGGAATACCCCACACTGAGCACCTGAGGCCAGGATTACCCGGCACTAAGCGCCCACCTGCAGGGCCCCATCCGGAATCTCTCTATCTCTGTTCCCATGAAGCATTGATATCTCCAGCTGCATCATCCTGATGAAGGCCACGATGGGCAGGTTCTGGATGCTGTTGAACCTGTGGGGATGGTGGGCAGGGTTGATAGTCAATCAATGATCAATAATCAGTAGGCAGAGTCCCACAAAAATACTAAGCTAGTAGCTATAATATATATGCATAAGACCTGGTGCAGACCTGTGTAGGACTAGTGCTTGGTTCTTCAGTCTCTGTGAGCTCATATGCACCTTGCTTAGTTGAATCAGAGGGCCTTGTTTTCCTTGTGTCCTCCAAACCATCTTTCCATCTCCAAACACTCTTTCCACCTCCTCTTTGGCAGGATTCCCTGAACAGTGAGGGGAGGGATTTGATGGATAATCAATAGCCAATCAACAAATGGTGGATAATCGATAGCCAATCAGCAAACAACTGATGACCAATAGTCAATCAACAAATGACCCACAGCCAGTCGGTTATCAATCGATGATTAGCCACTCAATAAACAGCTGGTAGTCAATCAATAATCAATAGTTGTGGTGATATATTGTTTATGATTTATTAAAGCTTGCCTGAGGATTCAGAAAGCAAAGCCATCCTCAAGCTATAGAGATCAGGTTGTGGTGATACACACCTTTAATCCCAGGACTCAGGATTAAGAGGGAGATGGATCTCTGAGTCCAAGACAACCCTGGGTTACCAGAGAGTGAATCAGAGCTCATGCCTTTAATCCCAGGGTTTGAAAGGTATAAAAGGCATTCAGTTTGAGAGTTAGTCTTTAGCCAAGTCGAGAGCATGGCAGTCTGAGTGAATCTGAGCATCAGTGAAGTCTGGAGGTCTGTACAGACAGGAAGTGAGATGACTGGGTGCAAACGAAGTGAGATAGTTGGGTGGAGAAAGGATATAAGCAGGAAGAAATTAGGAACTCCCTTTCTTGTCTGCTGAGACACTAGGAGGTAAAGGTGGATTTGGCTTGCTCCTTCTCTCTGATCTCTCAGCATTTTCCTCTATAATTGACTCTGGGATTTACTATTTAGACCAACTAAGAACTCTATTTACAAATAGTCATTCAACAAACGGCTGACAGTTATCAATAATCAATACTCAACCAACAACCAATGGTGAATCGATATTCAGCACTTAGCAAATGACCAGCAGTGAATTGATAATTAGTAGTCAACAAAGAATCAATCTACCGGAGTCCAGCTCCAGCAGGAAGGATGTATGAAGTTGGTGAAAAATGATGAGTCTGACCACAGGTTGTCTTTCAGCTCAGGCTGCCTTTATTTGTACAGTTCTAATGCAGTCAAAATGAGCAGTTTCAAATCATTTTCCAAGAATTGTTAACATTTTAGTTTTTCTTCCTTCCCACTCCCTTGACATCATTGATCTTTACCCCATATAATTATATAGCAGCCAAATGTTTATATCTAGCTAGGTACATCTTATTCACACTGTGCCCCAGCCAGCAACAAACATGCAGTTACAAAGTAAGTTATTTAAGTCCAGTGATTATCAGTTAACAATATGAAATCAGCTGAATATATTGTGATACCTAGAGTATCATTTTCAGGTGTATACCAGTTTCTGAGTAATCTGTATATCATCATTATTATATGGATTACAGTTATAATCCTATTATAAATTCTCAAGATAATAATGATCAATATCTAAATATATTAACTATTGAGACTAAGCTTCCATTCTTCCTGGCAATTTCTACATGTACTTTTCTTTTAAAGGAACTCAGAGTTTTAGATTCCTTTATTGATCCTTTGATATTGGAAAAGTATCTAAGTGTTCATGTCTTGGTGCCAGAGAGATGTCTGACCTTTCACATGCTATCTCTTTTTCCTTCTGTGTTCCTATAAGGTTTTTAATGTCATCTTTTAAGAAACGTAAGTTCTTTGAAGTATATCTTTCTCTTTTGGAATTGAATAAGCAATAATCATTAACCTTAGTGAGTTCCTCTTACTTAGGTAACTGCAGAGGCAGCCAGGGACGACCGGAGAAACTGGTTTCTGTAACAGATCAGAGAAATGTAATTTTTCTATAATTCCCACTTAATACAGGCATAACCACAACTAACAAAGCAAAACTAAGAGTTACCATAGGATTAAGCATAGCAAAAGTTAGAGAAGCCTGGAGCCCATGAGCTTCCCAAGGTCAGCGCAGGAGTCTGCAGTACTGTATTTATAGGTCCTTGACAAATGGATGAGATTCTCCAAAGGGCCTTGCTGTCTAAGGAGCTCCATTTACAACACACCTATGTGCCATTCCCAGGTGTGACAGCATGACTTTCACCATCAGTCAACAAACTACTGATAGCCAATCAATCAACAAACAGCCCAAAGTCAATCAATAATAAATTAATTCAATAAACAAGCGACCAGTAGTCAGTCAATACTCAGCCAATCTTCAGTCAATACCCCATCAATAATAAACAATCAGGCCAGGCGGTGGCGGCGCACGCCTTTAATCCCAGCACTCGGGAGGCAGAGGCAGGCGGATCTCTGTGAGTTCGAGGCCGGGCTGGACCGATAGCCTCCAAAACAATACAGAGAAACCCTGTCTCGTAAAAACCAAAAAAAAAAAAAATCAGTAACCAATCAATCATCAACAACCAATCCATATAGCTGGCAATCCATAACCAATGATTATAAAAAATAATGATCAATAAAAAATCAAACAATATGCACAATCAATCCATAACCGACCCCAAAGATCAATAAACAATAAGTCAGTATTCCAACAACAACTGAAAATCAACAATTGATCATCAATCAACAAACATCCTGATCGAAAACCACCCTTCCATCCAGAGGTCATCAATGGCCAACTGATAATATCAATCAACAATCAACTGATAATCAACCAAACGATAATCAGTCAACGATCAACTAATAATCAACTAACAACCTTAACCAATCAGTCACCGACAGCTGGAGAGACCATCTACAACAGAGTCAGTGAGCAGCAAACAACAAATGAACAATCGAAAATGGGGGGGGTGATACTCTAGGGCTGAGTGTACTTAGGTGACTGCAGCCAAATGTCAGGATCTGAGTTTGAATGCCTGGTCCCTGGGGGCAGGGAAGCCACAAATGCATATGTGAGTTTCCGGGGTGCACTATAGGGCTCAGGGGCTGGGGATGACTGCCGCCATATACTAGGATATGAGTTTGAATCCCTGGTCCCTGGGGGAGGAGGGAAAGTCAGAAGTGCAGATGTGAGTTACCAGAGTTCACTATAAAGCTAAGTGCAGTAAAGGAACTGTGGCCAAACATGAGGATCTGGGTTCGAATCCCTTGTCTCCATGGGCTGAGACGCCAGAATGGCATATGTGAGTTAAGGGGATGCACTGTATAGCTGAGGACCTGGTGGGGACTGCAGCCAAACATGAGGCTGTGTTCAAATTCCGAGATTGCCAGGACAGAGACGATTCTGCACATGCATGCACTCTAGGGCTGAGTGTACTTAGGGGATTGCCGCCAAATGTCAGATTATGAGTTCAAATGCCCAGTCTCTGCAGGCGGGAAAACGGAAGTGTGTATGTTACAGGGGTACACTATAGGGCTCAGGACTTGAGGATACAAATTCAAATCCTGGTGTGTGGGGGTAGGCATATGTGCATTTGTGAGTGCCTGGGGTACACTATAGGGCTCAGGGGCTGCAGGTGACTGCGGCAAAAGGGTAGGATTCAAGTTCAAATCCAAGGTTCGAGGATAAAGGAGATTCTGCACAAGCATGATATTGGAGTGCAGTATAAGGCTGGAGGATGAAGATGACTATGGCCAAATGTCATAAAGGATCTCAGTTCGAATTCCAAGTCCCTGAGGAAAGCCAAAAGTGCAATTTGTCTCACTGGGGTGCATTATAGGGCTTAGGGTCTAAAGAGGATATAGACCTCCAGGGCTAGATGCGACTGCAGCTAACCACAGGGATCCAAGTTTGAATCTCAGGTGTTGGAGGGTAGAAGCTCATGGTTCTGCACATGCATGATACAGGGTTACATTATTGGGCTGAGTGTGGTTAGGGAACTGTGGCCAAGTGTCAGGAAGGATCCCAGTTCGAATTCCAGGTCTGGGAAGGTGAATGCTGATCAGCTCATGCACTTTATCAGAGTGCACTATAGGGCTCCAGGGCTGGAGTCAACTGCGGGCAAGTATGAAGACCAGAGTTTGAATCCCCAGTCTCCGAGGGAAGCCAGATGTGTTTAGAGACCTGGGGGCGACTGTGGCCAAATTCAAGGATCTGAGTTCGATTCCAAGTTCAAATCCCAGGTCATCCTCCCGACACCCGGGAACCTGCATGTGAACCATGTTGATCCTCTCCACATCACAGAGGATCCCCGAGGTGAAGTGGTACCAGAGGCTGGAAGTTGCAGTGGACCTTGGTGGGGATGTAGCAGGCACAGGGGTATAGTCAGACTTCCAGTGCAGTTCAAAGGAGGAGCAGCAGGAGCACTGCAGGGAGGCTCGGTGTGCAAGGAATCCTGGGAGGAGAGAAGCCGGGGAGCGCTCAGGGCTAGCCTGGGGTGGCAGACATGTTCTAGGGTTAGTCGATGAATGACGGTTCTTGCCAGATGTCAGTCAGTTAACTGTCAAGGTCCCAGGGTGAATTTATTGACAATTCATTGATTGACACTGAGTAGACAGCTCTGCCCCCTCCCAGCCCCTTTCCTCACTTTTGTTCTAGTGTCACTCAGTGAATTGTCAGTCTGGTTTTCAGGGTGACTTCTTGGACAGTTCATTGAGACACCAAATCGACAGGTGGCTCCGCCCCCTCTCAACTTCCGACCAGCCTCCCATTTCCTGGGAACAAAATATACTTTACATTTTTTTCTTTCACACTTTAAAATGCTAAAAATATTTTGACTTTTCTTTTATTATCACGTTTGAAAATAGAAATTTTAATTCCTAATTATTAATTTCCCACGAGCTCGTCTGGCCGACGCAGTTCAGCGCTTCCCGCTGCACGGAAATAGCACTTAAGCGCTGTACCCTTCCGGAAACAGATTTTTAAAATTTAATTCCATATTTTTGTTTTGCTGATTTCGGAAGTTTGGGGGCTTTTTTAAATTACAATTTTCTCCTTCCCGGAAATCGTCCTTGGCGCCACCGCGACTTATGGGAACAAAAACAAAAACCCGCTGTGATGTCAGGAGTCAAACTCCCCAGAAAGCGACAAAAAAAAAAGAATAAAATTGAGATCTTAGGATTTTTTTGGGGCGTGCACGGAAAATCATCGGGATTTTTCTCCTGCGGACGCGAAGGGAAGCACCACGCAGACCCCGCCCCCTCACCCGGACACAAAGCCCTGGACCCCGCGGCCCGGAGTTTTCCCAGCCGGAACTGGTCTTACTCGGGCTGCATGTGTTTCCGGCGCCCTTGGCGGTCCCTGCTGCTTCGCCCCGAATACCCCGCGACTCCAGGATACGACCGGGGAAGCGGGGCCCGCAGGCACAGAATTATGGAAAGAACCACCCGCTCCATGCACTGAGTGGCGCATGCGCGTACGGGACCCTCTGGGGGTCGCGACCACCGTGCCAACTCCGACCTAGCACATTTGTCATTATCCCCCCTGCCTTGCATCCCGCACCCGTGGCATGGGAGGGTAAACTGAGGCAGGTTCCTGGGACGCGGGGAAGGTCGCGCGCGCGTGGCATGCTGGGAACGCCCAAGCGAGAGCGTGGTGACCTGATGCCCCGCCCGGGCTTCTCTAAGGATTCGCGCGCGATGCCTGCTGGGAACCCGGGTGTCTCCCGCCCCTCTCCCCACAAGGCCGGCCCTGCCTTGCGTGACCGTGGAGCTCCGGGAGCCGCGGGGCTTGGGCTGCTGGGAGGACGGGGGGGGGGGGGGATTGGTAAGGAACTTCCGGCTTGCAGTTCCCGGATTTCTCGACTGACTCCCAATGGGATTCCCCCAAACCGGCTACACCCGGACACGTTACCCCGCGAGGCCACGCGCCTCCAGTTTCAGCTAGTCAGGCCCCAGGCAGAGGCTTGTGATCCCAGCACCCAAAGCCTTCCGCTAGGGGGTGACTGCGAATTCAGCCTGGAGGTAGTGGGCGTGTCCTGAGGGGTGACTGACAGCAGGGCTCTGGGCGTGTCCTGAGACTTGACTGACTGGACGGCTGCACATGTCCTGAGGCATGATTGACACAAGGGAAGTCTTTGGGCTTGTTCTGAGGGGTGATTGATAGGAGGACTGTGGGTGTGTCTTGAGGGAATGACTGACAGGAGGGCTCTGGACGTGTCTTGAGGGATAACTGACAGGGGAAGGCCAAGTTCACCGTAAGAATCTCACCTCACATTTTAATTTTTTGCATACATAAAGAGATGTTAATTATAATAAACAGTATTATAATTTCTATGTTAATAATTTTGTAGTAATATGACTTATCATCATTTCTGTTTAGATTCAGCCCCCAGGTCCACGACTTCCCATCACCTGACCCCGCGAATCACAACCAATAATGGTGCCAGGATGGCAAAAACTCTGTCATGGACTCAGTCATTTTATAAACAATTTTTGGCTCCTGACTTCCACTTTCCAGTTTTGGCTGCCACTTTGGAGGAGGATCGATGGCGGTAGCAGGGAGAGGGAATGAGAAAGTCATTTTTTTATTCGTTTATTTCAACAACATATTTATTTAAAATATTAATCAATTTTTCACAATGTGTAAAATTAATTTTTAAAATATTCATTTCAAATATTTATTGAAAATTCATGCTTAGAATATGTGTTTCAAAACACGTGATCTACTAGTACAGAATTTAAATATTAATATTTAATTTAAAATCTTCAATTATTATTTGAAACATTTACTTATCTCTAGATATTTTATTTTAAAATTCTGATTTACTAAACATTTATTTTACAGTTCTGATTTATTCATTTCCCAGGGCCTGTGCCCACACCCCATCATGCCATTCAGTGGCACTCGGTTACCAGAATATATAGTAGTCTGTACAACCCCCTGAAATTCCACCTCCAGCTTCCCAACTTCCCCTTCAAGTGTGTTCATAGCCTCAGGCCAAAATGAAGAATCAAATGAATCTTCAAAATAATGATTAAAATTGAAAATAAGTAAATATTTCTGTCTTCCTCATCTACAAGGCCAGGGAAGGTCCCAGAGGCACCAGGGGTTGATGGGAAATAGGCTGTAGTTAACCTTTGACATTCCCCGGGTGATATTGTGTCCACAGCATGTGATACTCAATGGCATCAGCAGCCACGGAAATGTGACTTGGATAAGCTATGAAAATCGAATAAATATGTCAATCAATGAAATATTATATCTATTGATGAAAATACAGACAATTCGTGAGGAAAATATAGAAAACAATGTATAATAGGACCTTAAATTATTACATAAAATGATATGTGAAATAAGGAAGAAAATAATAAAATAAGAAATAACATGAAAATTACAAACTTGTGCAGAAAATGACTGATATAATACGTAAAATATAAAAAAGCCTGCACAGAGAAATAATACATGAGCTATAAAAAAGGAATAAAAGATTTTGAAATGATATGTAAAGTAAGGAATCCCATAATACATAGAATAATGAATAAAAAAATCATTGAAATAACATGAAAAATATGAATCCACATTAAATAATATAGATTAATAAAGCAAAAAACATGCACAGTAAAACAATCTATGAACTATATCAAATATGAATTAAAATACAACATGAATTAAAGAAAAATCTCATCTCAAAAACACCAGAAAATAATCAGGAACATATAAAACATCACATAAAGTGATACATGAGATACAAATTTCAAAAATGACCTATACAAAGTAAAAACCACGTGGAAAATAGTATTTTCAAAGCTGAGTAAAATAAAATGAAAATTTTGCAGAAAAATAACCCATTCATTGGTATACAAAATATAAAATAAAATAGAATGAAATAATATATAAAATATAAAATAGTGTGCCCAGACTCTGAGCCCCCAAAACCACTAAGAGGCCAGATCTGATGCAAAAGCAAAGAGTCTCTTTAATTTACAGGTTAACTCAGGTCCCCTGTCAGTTCATCCGACACAGCGGGTGGAGCAGGAGGGACCTGGAGCAGCAGTGAGGCAGGGCATATATTGGTGTAGATCAAGGAGGGTGTCTGAGGGTTTGATAGTTGCTTAGTAACAGTCTCAGCATTGGCTCAACTCTGGCCTGGGGGAACCTGTCCTGAGTTGATTGGTCAGCTGCAGCTGCAGAAAGGTTGCTTTGCCTGGAGGTCATCCAAGAGCCATTGCTACCTACTGCATTCCATGATTATCAGTAAAGCACATCCAAAGCCCTGCAGCTAACTTCTGATTGGTTCCTTACCACATGGAGGGTATCTGGCAGTTTCTTCCCAGTAATTAGGGCAAGGTCAGGCAGGGGTGGTGGGGGGGGGTCAGCACATTTTCCTGCTTCTCCAGCCTGGGCATGAAAGCAGTTGTATGCAGGCCTCAACACTCATTTCCTTTTTTATCATTTGTGGAATGGTGCTGACAGCAGCTGCAGGTTAGACTGGCCCCAGGCTGCTCCAGATGGTTCCTTGGGCAGGGGAGGCAATGGGGGCGTCTGGGGGCGGGTGAGGGAGGGGAGCCACTTCCTATCCCATCTGTGGGGCCAAAGTTTGAAGAGGCTCATCTAACTCAGCGTTGTATTATAAATAAAAATATAGTTATTGCTTTGACCTGACTGCTTGTGAGTGATCTCTGTCTCCAGAGACTTTGAGGGCTCATTTACATATACGTTAATTTCGTTGTTGATTATTTGCGTATTTAAATAGGAATTGAAGCATAGTTGGATGATTGACATATAGATAGATGATTGACAGATTGATGATTGACACTTAGGGGACCTGCCTTGCAATCACTCCCATGACCCCAGAGGACACAGTGTTAGAGGTCACAGGACAGCCCTGCACAACCTAGTTAGAAGGAGCCGCTGTCAATCACTCGCCCTGTCCCCCTCCCCTCCCCTCCTAATCCACCCCATGAGCCCTCCCTATCCCCTGGCTCTTAGCGTTTCTGGCTTCTGACTGGTTGCAGACTGCTTTTATCCGGTTATTAGCAGCTGTGGGGTGGGAGCTCCATTAACTCCTGATGCTGAAACCAGTCATTGGAGTGGGGGGAGGGGGTAAAACCCGATTACTGCAGAGGGGTTGGCGGAGAGGCATGCCAGTCTCTCCCAGTCTGGCACCTCGGCAGGGAACACCAGAGCCGTCTGTGGGGTTCCTGGGGTCAGAGGCCACAGGGAGATCGTCATCAAGGAGGAAACCGCCAAATCAAGCCACAGATAAAATAGCATAGCCAGGAATCACAGATTGCTCCCTGTTCTTATCCATTAGTGAAATGTTTTCTAGCAGTTAAAAGACTCAGTGTGATTTGTAGTTGTAGTTTTCAGATTGTATGAATTCAAGTTTTAAAAGGTTTTGAAGAAAAAAAAAAGAAAATATGCTGTCTCGAACAATAAATCAAATGGTAGGCTATATGAGAACTTTTTTGTAGAGGCTGTGCTATTTCCATTGCCTTTTTTCATAAACAGGTCTCAGCAAAATTAAAAATTAGAAGACACTTGGCATTTATTCTCTTCTCAGTTGCTATTTTTCTACATTTTATATTCTCATTTATTTTAATTTTTGTATTTTGTAGTGCTAGGGATCAATCAAGCCAAGGATTTTGACCATGTTAGGCAAGTGTTCCACCACTGAGCTAACTTCCCAGCCCCCCCCCTTTTGGTTTTTCGAGACAGGGTTTCTCTGTACTGTTTTGGAGGCTGTCCTGTAGACCAGGCTGGCCTCGAACTCACAGAGATCTGCCTGCTTTTCCCTCCCGAGTGCTGGGATTAAAGGCTTGCACCACCAACACCCGGCTTCCCCAGCCCTTTTTGCTTATAATTTAGAAGAAATTACAAAAAAGCTGGGGCCCCCATGTACTTTCTTCCATGGTATCATATACTACTTTGGGTAGAATTGATTCGGTGTCTGAATATTTAGCCATCTTTACAGTCAGAGTATGAAGTGTATGAACAAGCAAAGAAGAACATGTTCCTTGCACTCATGAGCAGCCTCCCAGACTCACTCTGCGCATGTAACTACTTTCATCAGGAACACTAAATTTAGCATTAATATATGCTATGATCTTCAACTTCTAATGCATTACAAAGTCATGTTTAAACCAAATGAAAGTTCAGATTTCCTAACACATATTCTTTATAATTGACCTCAGAGCATTTCTCAGCCTGTAAAGACTCTTATTTGTAACCACCAGAGCAGTCAAGGCTATAATCACTCTGTCCACACTGAATAAAAATTCACCAATTTCACAAAAAATCTAAAAAATAAATAAAAATGTATGTTTAAAAAGATCAGAGCATAAAAAACAAAGTTTTCTTCTGCTTAAAGAAGTGGTTCAAGATCTGTGTGGCAGAGTTTGGGGATGATGGGAAGGCAAGAGTGTGGGTGTGATCAGTGTTAATAGGTGTCATAGAACCTCAATAACACTCTCTGATTATTACTCAGGGAAGATCTGAGGCTTGCACAATTGAGAGAGGTGATAGAATCTGGAAGGTTTGGATAGGAGGACACAGGAGATGATAATTTTGTAGAATTAGGTGGATCTGAAATACATTAATATATAACATGACTGTGAAAAAAACTATACAGGAAAAAAGAACATATTTCTTATTTTCAAAAAAACTTAGCAGCCTGAGACAAAAAGCTAAATCTAATGAAACTATTTATTAAAGCTAAATGTTTGATCCTGAATTTCAAATGAACTGAATAAAAATTTGATTAACTGTA